TTTATTAATTTATTCACTTATATTTATTCATTTATTAATCGACTTATTTATTTATTTGCATAGTGTATAGCTTCTTCTAAAATCTGAACCTAAGATCGACTCCACCAGAATAGTTTATAATTAATGTAAGAAAGAATGGTGGAAACCGGACTGGTGAATTGTACATTTCTAAGGGAAAGAACTGTGACAAATATGCGTTGTACTTAAAAGAAAACCTTGGTTATGTCCCATTGAACACAAGTTCACTTTTTCTATTGTCACCTGAGTTGCTCAGGAGTGTAGGCTGGCATTAGAGTTATTTGTGCTGGTATTTTATTGCCAACTCTAGATGACGTGTCCCTCTCTTGTAGAGGTTTTCTTCCTACGACCTTTCGTTGCCTCGGTTATCACATCGGTGCATTAACATCAACTGAAAGTCTTTGGCCTACTTTAAAAAATACTCAACTGGAATGGAGCAACAAATCCTTTAAAATGCAAAAAATTAGAAGGTTTAGACATAGTGATGTATAGATTGATTCTCTATTCCGCATTCGTGGTTGTACTCTCCAGAATTTCAAAGGTGTGGAGACAGTGCGCACGGCTATCGAACGGAAACCTCACTTGTTTACAATGGCGTCTTAGAAGACGGACTTTCCCCAAGAGTAGATATAAACGAAACCAATGAAAAACTGAAAAGTAAACTACAGTGACTTCAGGCTCCTCAATAGAGCTGTGCACACTTTAATGATTCTGAACCAACATTAATTTGGTCAAATTCGAAAGTTAAGTGGTTCCGAAGTTTTAGGGGGCCAAAGTGAAGAACTTTCACAAATATGATAATCTATATGAATGCTATAACTTGTACAACACAAAAGCATAATTTTTGTTTTTGTTGTGAATAACATTTGATTTGATTTTCTTTGAGCCTTGAGGTAAAAATATGATAATCCGGATTTTTTTTCTTTTTGAGCAATTTTCTTTCAATGTTCTAGGTTGATGGAAAAGGGTGCTTCTCTTTGGGACGGGATCCATGGACGGGACACTTTTTCCTGTGGGCCCTTCTGAGGTTGAAAAAAAATTATTTACTGTACAATTCTGAAACACATCGATGGCTTAGTGGTTAGGCTCTCGGACTCATAACAGTATTAAGGTCGTGGGTTCGAATCCCGTCAGGGGCCCGACGTTGTGTCCTTGGGAAAGGTACTTCACACGAATTTTCCTCACTTCACCCAGGTGGGAATGGGTACCCAACTATAAACAGCGGAAGATCTTGTCAGTTTGTTATTGTCTGAGCGCATAATCAGCTGCTTGCACTGTGTGCTTCCCGGGAAGCTGAGAATGTTTCTGAGTGCTCTATGGTCGCCAGGGATAATACTATTGCACTTCTTGGTGGGTATGCGCTATATAAATGCTATTTTATTATAATTGTTATTATCATCGTCATCATCATCATCATCATCATTATTATCATTATTATTATTATTAT